GCTTACCACGCCAATCACAACACATGGTAAATAGGCACAGTGGATCTTCTCTCAGAGTCTTGAGGCATCTAATAGTGCAACAACCTGGCACATTGGAAAAAACATTGGCAACCCTATACTGGAAGAAACAGTGTGAGCAAAAGGGCACTGTTTGATTAATTTGTGCTCTGCTTCTAGCTTGCTGTAATAACATCAACTTCAAGTGATAAGGATGCTGCTAAATCTGCTTTAATTAACGTCAGCTCTCTCAGTAATAAATCACTATTAATGCTCAAGTTAAGGCTAGATTTTTTTTTAAAAAAAGGGAACTTCTTTTTGGCTGGATCTGAGATTTGGCTGGAAATTGTCCCAGCTATGGAATGTTGTCTTGTTATTGCTATTCTGTCTTTAGCCTTTCAAGGTGAGCTTCCATCTGGCTTGTAGATACCCAAAATAACACACAGGCGTTCTGCAAATGATGTTTCTATAAAGGAAGTGTATCTGATTTGTTACAAGCGAGAAGAAGGAAGTTCTTATCATTGTTTTTCCATACCCCAGAATTTTAAAATTCTATTACAGGTTATTAAATAATGCAGAAAATAAAATAGGTTTGACTCATTTTGTTAAGATTGGTTGCTAAATGCTAAAGTAGGCACAGAGACTCCAATCCTGAATATTTTCTTAATTATTTTGGATGAAGACAACATCTACTAATAACAATGAAAGAATAGGGCATTCATAGTGCATAAAACCATAACAAAACTCAAGGTTCTGGACTGTTCTTATAGCTTCAAGCGGCTAGACATTGCAAGAACAAATTTTATGTCATCTCAAAATGAAACTCAATCGAGATGTGATCTGCTTGATTTCCAGAATTTTGGTAGCCTCCACCCAAGGAAGCCAAAAGAAATTGCTGCCAGGCAGATTGGTTAGCTGTGTTAGCTTTCTCTGTCTGTCTACTATGCATTCATCTGAAACCAGTTCCAGTTTTGTTGCTGCTGGAAGCTGTCATTTGTTGAACTTGAACACTGGCTTTTATAGACCATCCTACCAATTTGTTCTGGCCTATTTAACTTCTGCTAGGGATTTACAATGCAATACTTAATATGTCTCCTCAGACATCATTCCTTCCAACTTCAGTTGGACTTTTAATCGGTACAGCAGTTTTAGGTATTAGATGTTTAGGTATTGCAGCTTTGATGCCTTTTGTAGCTTGCCCCAAACCAGCAGGGAATTATTTTTCTCAGCTACTCCCGCCTAGGCTCTTACCAAATCTTTGGGTATAAATAGTGTGATTAAATGTAGAACATAGAGGTGCCGGTATATTACAGCAGCACATCATTTGAAAATTTCCAGAATTTCAAAGAAAGGTGTAGAAGGGAAAATCGATGCAGGTTCCAAGGAAAGGGAAAAATATATGGAACTATTGAGTCTTGTTCCCCCGGAGTATTGCTTCAGAGAGTCATCTTCCAAGCTATTAAAATAGGCATTTAGTTTAAGATGAAAGAAAAACAACAGAAACAAAACTCTATATTGATGAATTCCTGATGCTTTTAATTAGAGAGACAAAGATAAAGAATTTTACATTACTGCAGAAATATAGTGAAGGTGACATCGTCTGTTAAAACATATGCCATAATAAATTTGTTAGTCTTTAAGGTGCCACAGAACTGTTCTTTTTTATGGCAGCAAACTAGCACAGTTATTCCTCTAGCAGTGGTTTCTATATATCATTGTAATTACACAGCACATTTTTTTTGTTTACAGAGGGTCAAAATGACAACACTTTCTGTGCCCAAAAAGGAAATAGTGGACATCGATCTTTCGGTTTAGAGTGTTGTGGCCCAAATTTTATTATTTCTTATAAACAAAATAATCCTGCAGTGAGGAAAGTGGGAGGAGCTGCGCAAAATCAACCACTATCTTCTTGATATGACATGGTTGGATCCTGACTGCCAAGAGTTGCCCCTCATTGGTTAGGTGATTCTCTTCACATAGCGATTACGTCATGCCAAGCCATATTACTTGATTATATTAATTTGTGCCTCAAAATCTCCCTCCATTTCTCTTTTGCCTAAGTTGTGATGAGGAAACAGTAACTAACATCTGGGATGATAATGCAGCCAAGGGGCTGGTAGATGCATAACATTCTAGAAAGGGGATCTGAAAATGTGCCACCTCCCTAGTAATTTGGCTGCCTTAATAAAATTCCTTCTCAGCTTGCAGAAGGATAATTACCATACACTAGCTGGATTGACCCTAAATACAGAGAATGAGATTGGGTAGAATATATTGCCTGTCTGGGCAAACTAAGGGTGTGGCTAGATGGCAGAATTATCCTAGCCTGTATCAGTTTAGGTTGTGCTTAAGAGGGTTGCTTTGAGGTTCTGTGTGGCTTGTAGGGTGATCCTTGCATCCACATGTGAGGATCCACCACACCTCAAGGCTTCTTTGCATTTAAAGAGAAAGCTTCCCATTTCTCATGATCATTAAGTGGCTTGGGCAAAGAATAGTGGAGGAAGCTGCTAAATAATCTTGAGAAATGGGAAACTTTCCGTTTAAATCTTCCTTGCCACTCACATTTGGAGGAAATGCATTAGTAACAAAAAGAAATGGAAAACATCCTCTCCCGTACCCTCCAAAGACGATCAGCACGGAAGCTTTCCAAATCTGAAGATTGTTAAGTGACTTCAGGAAAGAGACAGTGAGCCAACTGCTTTGGTTCAGTCACAACAACCACACACACTAGAACCAAACAAAAACAGAACAACCCTGCCTGCACCTAAAAAAAAGAGCAGTCCATGACAGGGAACCAAAACGGTGTGAGCAGGTATGCTCTGGGGATGGGATGGTTCACACTGGCATTTGTCATGTAGTTGCTGAAAAAATGAGTGAACCAGGCTTTCCCTAGAGTGGAGAAAACTGTGGGACGAATCCCTGTGTAGATGGACTCTAAAGTTGAGCAATCTTGAGCAGGCCTAAGTCTCCTTAATTCCACCCTATAAGAAACTCTTCCAACATCAGGATCCTGACAAACATTTCTCCTGAGTAGCTGACATTGACCTTGGAAGAAAGTCTTGTAGTTGTGTTTGGTTCCTTTCAGTGGGAGGAGATGGCAGCATTGTTGGATATCCAAATATTTTATCAAAATATTTGCTATGCAAATTGGAACAAGTGTACCCTCAGTTGGTCTGGTCTCTTCAGAACTCAGTCACTGAAATTACTTTTTACCAATTTGTCTATGCATTCATACATTGCTGGATCTAAAGGGAAAAAACCTGTAGAAAGCAAAAGACTATGACCTGAAATGGAAGGGTGTGTTTGCTATGCAGTGCCCTTAACTTCAAGAGGTGAACATCCAGTTTTTAGGCAAAGCTCCAACCAGTTTCTTTCCTTCTCTTTCTTCTCAGAGAAAAACATCTGTTGCATCTGTGGAAGATGCCCTTTACTGTGTCCAAAGTGATGTGTGCTCCTTATACACCACCCCACAGCACGTACAACATTATTTGGGCAGTTTAGAATTTAATTATGCAGGCTACACCTTGCCCCCCTCCCAACAAGCTGAGTACTCAATTTACTGACCTCAGAAGGATGGAAGGCTGAGTCAACCTTAAGTCAGCTACCTGAACCTGTCATGATCTAACTCAGCTCATAAGCAGAGTCTTGACTTCAGTACTGTAGCTTAATCACAGAGCCACAAGGTCCAGTCAGTACCTGGCTTGTCCGAGTATATCTACTTACTGCCTAGCCTAAATCAGAGTTCTGCACATCAGTATTCACCCATGGTGGGAAAAAAGTAATGTAAATAAGGGCCAGGAGGGAGCATTACATATAAAAGATAGTAGATCATCCCAGTGGAGAGGGAATAATTTTTCAAGGTACAGTGGTGCCTCGCAAGACGATGTTAATTCGTTCCATGAAAATCGCTGTCTTACGAAAACATCATCTTGTGAAACGAAAAAGCCCACTGAAATGCATTGAAACCGGTTCAATGTGTTCCAATGGACTGAAAACTCACTGTCCAGCGAAGATCATCCATAGGGGCGGCCGTTTTCACTGCCTGTAAAGCAGGGAATCCGTCCTGAAAACACAGCGGGGAGCCATTTTGCACAGCGGGCGGCCATTTTAGAACTGCCAATCAGCTGTTTTTAAATTGTCATTTAGCAAAAAATCGGTTCCGAAGCAGGGAACCGATCATCGTTAAGCAAATTTTCCCCACAGGAACATTGTTTTGCAATCGCAAAAGCGATCACAAAAACTTCATCATCAAGTGGTTTCATTGTTTAACGAGGCAGTCATTAAGCGAGGCACTACTGTACTTTCACCTGTCCATCAAAGCCTGCAAAAAAGAGCATGTTATCCACCCCATACTCATACACAGACAGAGAGAGTCCTAGCTGTAATGAAGGCTCAGTTTTATAGATGGGAGGTTTGTACTTCATATCAAGCATAGCACCACAGGTTGTGCTGAGTTCAATTTTCCTTCCCCCAGACCTCCTGGTCCACTTACCAGGCTCTATACATTGCCGGAGTCCTTCTTTGGAAGTGTTGGTCCAATCCAGGCAGAAGCCCAGCCAACTTTTCTCCACCTCCTCAGGCAGCCAACTACTCTGATGAGGAGGCAGGACAGGAAATCCCCTTGCACAGCTGATGAGTGGTTGGCTGCCTGGAGAGGCAGAGAAAGGCTGGCTGGACTCCTATCTAAATTGGAACAATGCTGCCAAAGAAGGACCCAGCAGCATGCAGAGCCTGGTATGTGACCAGCTGGCCTGGGGGGGGGAGAGAGAGATGGAACTCAGCACCACCTGCAGTGCCATCCTTCATATGAAGCACAAAGCTCCCATCTCTACTCAGTATAGCTACCTAAAAGAAAAAACAAGAAGACTCTAGAATGTAATCAGACTAAATTGTGTTCTACCCTCTTCTTGTCATGTCTGAATGAGAAACAGCTGCTCAGTTGGGTGGGTAGGAAGTAAATAAGAGTCCAGTGAGATGAGTCCAGTGAGATCACCCTGAGACCTCTTCAGAACTCAGTTGCTGAAATTACTGGGACAGGTGTGCTTTCTTTGAGTCTTCAGCTGCCAACCTTTTTCTGCTTCTGTGCTCACTTCTTTTGCTAGAACAACTGATGCCTGATATTTTAATTCAAATTTTAGCATATTTAACTCCCAAACACTAGAACAACTATCAGTGTTTTGTAGGGGTGCTCTAAGCTATCCAGAAACGGCTGGTGGGTTCCTGGACCATTCTGTATCTGCTCTGGTAGCATACATATATGCCTTCTTCACCTGTCCTGGACACTTTTTTCCAAAACTGGTGCACATTTCTTGCACATATTGACTGAAATTCTGCTGCTTAGTGTGGTGTTGCCCTAGAGTTAGGCCCATTGAGTCAGTGGGGATTTGCTGAGTCAACTCCCCCATATCTTCCATTGATTCAAATGGGCCTACTCCAGTTGGGACTCATTCAAGTCTTTCATGTCTGATATTTTCTCAAGGGTCTTATTTGTGTTGTCTTCATGTACTTCTGCTAAAGAAAATTGTTCAGCTACAGAGGGTGCAATCTGCATCTCGTTTAGTCAAAAAGTAATTCTATTTATTTAAATAGTAAACTCTAGTGTAAATGAGTCCCAGGTTACATGCTGTTGCTTGTGAAGGCATTTGTATTCAGAAGCTATTTCCATATCCTCGAGCTGCTTGCAGCTCTTACAAAGAAGTTTGATGTTTTGTATAATTGCTCCTGTGATATTCAATAATGCATAGCTTCAGATTCTGCTAAACTTAACATAGACAAAACGAAGTAGCTATCGATCAGTTCACTAAGGGAGAGGTCTCAGGTGTCATCACTGTTAGTTTCCATTTGTGGTGTTTCTTTTTATTCTTCAGATAATGCTTGTGACCTTAGGGTCATTGTGGATTCTGTGCTTTCTTTTGAAGCCCACATCAATCAGGTAATTAAAATATCTTACTACCATCTTTTGGAATCTAGCCAGACAGAAACCTATGCTCTTTCTGGTCCTGTCCTTATAAGTTTAATTCTTTTTAAAAAGTCTCTAATGACCTGTAACTGTCATCCAGGCTTTGCATTGGGCAAATAATATTCTAAATATCAACAAAAATACAGTATTATTGTAATAATACAATAATATTGTATTATTATAATCTGAAACATATGTTTGTACTAATTTACATGGAGAGTTAAACTACCTTTACACTTCTGTTTCTTTTACCAGTTTTATCTTTTTGAGGAGAATTTGTCTTTTGTCTAGAGATTTGAAATTGAATTCTATAGATTTGCATTTCTGTGCCCCATTTTTCTTGTGAGTATATTTAGAAATTTGTTAAATTTCTTTGGCTAAACAGGATGAAATGTGCTTTTGTGTTTAGCATCCATGGTTTAAGGAATGCAAATACCAGTTGCTGGAGGGACTGCAAATGAAATTGCAGCTTGCAGGATGGGCAAATTTAATCTTTATCACCTTTAATGCTGTGGGGCTTAATGACAAGCAGTCGTCCACAATTGTTATTTGCATTGGAAAGAAGTCCTGTATTGATGCAACTGGAGTTTCACTTCGAAATGCAAATACTAGTTAGGGAAGACCATTTTTCATTAACTCCACAGCAAAGTGGGAAAGAAATAAAGCTTTCTTCCCTGTATTTTTTTAAAACGTGATTTAAGTACAAAGGAAGCTTTACTATCATATTGAGTTTTCCCCTCAGCATCTGCTAGCAAGGATTGTAGGTAAGGAATTCATCAAATACTAGCCCTTAATACTTGCACAGAATGAGATGCAACCCATAGTGGTCCCTTGTGCAAGGGAATTCTGTGGACTAGGTGGGGGAAGTATTGAGGGCAGAGTGTGTGAGAGGAGATTGAGTGTGGCCTTTAAAAAATAAAATAAGCTTTCCTCTAATTATGCGATAGATAAAAATGATTCAGCCAGGAACCTACAGAGCAGATTGACTTAAAAGTGTTCCTCATTAGACAACCACTTATTTATTAGTTTACTTCAACAGGCACTTACTGTTTCAATGCATTCACTCAAAGACTCTGGTAATGAGAAACAATAACACGTTTCTATTTACGTATAATTGTTCATAGATAAAAACCAAACATCTTATTATGTAAAATTTTTAACTTTTTAAATTTTAACATCACTGAGCTTAACTGATTTATTAGTGACTAACTGACTGGTTACATAGCTGACTTCACTTTGGTTGTTGTGGGTTTTTCGGGCTCTTTGGCCGTGTTCTGAAGGTTGTTCTTCCTAACGTTTCGCCAGTCTCTGTGGCCGGCATCTTCGGAGGACAGCACTCACCAGAGCACAGAGTGCTGTCCTCCAAAGATGGAGGATGCCACAGAGACTGGCGAAACATTAGGAAGAACAACCTTCAGAACACGGCCAAAGAGGCCGAAAAACCCACAACAACCATTAGATCCCGGCCGTGAAAGCCTTCGCGAATGTCTTGACTTCACTTTGTTTTCCTCCAACAGACTCCATTGCTAACAGTGACAGAACCCTGACTAGAAAAAAGACCGGAAGAAGAATCTGAGGCAGAGAGAGAACAGTTGGCTGCTACTGAGTTGAATGGCATTCACTTCAGTCCTCTCAGTTAAAAACTCCTTAAAAGGCATCATATGTAAGTTGTGGTATATCCAACAGGGAGCACCTTTCCACCTCTGCTGCAAACTCCATCGTATATGCATGAGCCCTTTGTCTCCATGTTTCATAAACAGCAGCAATTCACTCATATCCTTCATAGCTGCTGCACAGAACTGCAGAGCTGGAAGGGACCCAATGGATCTTCAAGTCCAGTCCTTATCAAGGAGGCAATTGACCTCCCAACCTCTGGCTCCACCACCATATACTGAAACTACGGAACTATCCAGCACTTCTTATGTATGCTTGCAGGCTCAGAAAGTCAGTTGAACAGCAGAATTTATTCCCACATGCAACAATAAATGTTGCTTTTGAAAGTACCCTCGTTTTCCGAAATAGTTTGTTATGCATCTGGGGAAGTAAGGATTTGTGATTGCTGTACAAGGGTCAGAAACCCAAATACCTCTGGAATGTGCGTAACTAGTTAGGCTGATCTTTGGATCCTAGCCATCGTTCTTGTGGCACAGCACCAGCATGGATTGGAACAGGTCACTGTTCTCTCAAGTAAATTGAATGTGTCAACAAACAGTTTCAAAATTATGTAATTCTGAGAATATTTTAAAAATATTTAGACCCTTAATTTCCATGGAAAATTCAACATATCAATTAGAAATAGCCCAATGTGGATATGCTGTTTAGACATTGTTGTTTATACAGTTTCATTTCAAATGTAACAAAACAAACAAATAAACCTGAAACAGATAATCAGAAAGTATCTTCTCTTGAATCAATTAATTATGCGCTATCAGAGCCAACTTAATGGCAACCCTCCCCCAGAGTTAGCTAGGTATTAAGTACTCAGAAGTAGTTTACCAGTCCCCCCTTCGGATAGTGCTCTGGGACCATGCAACATGCCCAGGGTAACAGAGGTGTCAGGCCAATTAATGCTATCTGTCACAAATACTAAAACTAATATTCCAGACTTCCATTGACATGAATCTACCTCAGGAGCAGGCCTTCAAAATTTCCCTGGATTAATCAATAGTGAGTTCCAAAGCTATGAATGGCTTGTTAAAGGAAAGTAAAAGATATTTCTAGAACTAGAGGGTGCAATGTTCTATATTGGTTGCAACACTGCTGCTGTATGCCCAAGGTTATGCATACTATAAGTTGCCTATCTTTTATTTCAAACACATTCAAGGGAGAGCTTTACAGTTTTGTTTATTGCTAGGGTAATAACATACTGTACAATATGTTCTCTGTGTAAGGATAGAGTAATGGCATCAGGGAGTAATTTGTTCTCAGCTGAAACATGAACTTTCATCAATAACAAAGAGACACTGGAACACCCCTACCTTCTGCAAAGTTGGATGGTTGTCCTGAATCATTACAATGTTGTCTGGCAATGTCCTACAGTGTTAATTGTTGCAATGAAAATATAATGTGGCTTCTAATTAGGAAAGGCAAACTGGACTAAACAGCAAGAGTGTATTCTAGACTTCTCTTGTTCCCTTATAGAAAATAATGCACCTTATACTGTATAATAATGTATATTTTAACTCTTTCAAAATTCGTGTTTTGTTCTTATTCCTTTATATGATATGACACTAAAACCTTAATGTAAAATTACCAATCTAATAGTTGCTCAAAAATACAACTCATTTAAAACTGTATTCCTTGTTGTCATTCCCTCCTAATACGAGGGTTAACCCTGCTATGAGGCAGAATGAGTTCACCACCACAGCAGCCATAGCAGCCTCCAACCTAGGCCATTCCCTAGGTGGCACACACATTCTGTGGAAATTGAATGCCATTTTAATGCACTAGTAACACTGCAATCTTAAGCACACCTGTGTGACAAACCCAGACCTACTGGGATATGTCACACAGTTACACTAAGCTGCCACCAACCATTCCCTTTAAGAAGTCACACAGACCAGGGATGGATTTTTAAACAATAAAAAGAATAAGGTTTATTTAAATACACACACAGGCAACACCTGTTCACAAGCAAACCTTACAGAGCTTAATGTTAGCATATATAGCTAGGCACATACTGTACGTAAGGTAAAAGTAAATGTTCCCCTTGACAATTTTTGTCTAGTTGTGTTCAACTCTAGGGGGCGGTGCTAATCCCCGTTTCCAAGCCATAGAGCCAGCGTTTGTCTGAAGACAGTCATCCGTAGTCACATGGCCAGTGCGACTTAGACACAGAATGCTGTTACCTTCCCACTGAGGTGGTCCCTATTTATCTACTCACATTTGCATGCTTTCGAACTGCTAGGTTGGCAGGAGGCACATATGTAGTAGGTGGGAAATAAGTATGTGTAGTATTGTAGCCTAATTCTTGTAAGATCCTAATATTGAAACTATAAAATGGCCAACCCAGCCTTTATTGTTTCATTCTATGCTTCCCCCGCTTGAGATGTAAAACTGCACCCCACATAGATTTTTGTCACTATATTGAAAATTCCCTGTAATTTCTGAGATTTTGTATGCCTTGATTTTTTTTCCTGCATGAAGACTTTTATTGTGACTCCTGTCACAGCTCTTACCTCTTACTAGGGGCAAGTATTTGTGCTACTTTGCAGTAGGTAACTTATCCCTTAATGTACAATTTATGTTCGCAGCATTGCTTTCAAATGCCATTTACATCTATAGAGGAATGTGGAGTGGCTGTGGTTCCAGGTTAGTTCTGAATTGTAGTGTGATGTTGAAAACATGCTCTAACTTTATTTCTAACATTGTTAGAATGAACTCAGAAATAAAGCTCTTCTATTGTATTTGAATTGCAACACAATGGGGACCGGAGTAGGGAGCGAATAGACATGAGTCTTTCATTCTGGCATTTGCATGCCATTCACACTTAGCCACAGCTAAAGGGCAAGCAGGGCAGTGTTTGAATGCAGCAGCAATTGAAGGTAACTTACTCGCATTGCCTCTGACATTTCATGAGACTAATGAGGGAGTTGGGAAACAGGCCTAATTCTGGGTAGTCTGACAGGCAGATTGCCTAGAAATCTTTATTTATTTATTTATATAAATGCCTGAACTGCTCAGTCCCTTCCCACGGACAGTGTCTGAGATGTTTTACAACTTCGGTAGAATAATTTTGACAAAGATATAATGATGCACTCACTAAGGTCAGCCACAAATAACTTAACTTTCATATGTAAAAACAGCCTACGCACAAAACTATTTAGGTTATAGAGCATACGGTCTAGTAAGACAGAAAAGTACAAAATGAAACAATGAAGTTCCGAAATGGTCTTTAGGAAGGTAGTGCCATTTCTTAAATTCAGATTAAGATGCATTTGTGCAGCGGATTGTTTGAATGCACGTTTGAAACACTGTAAATGCTGTCTGTCTGTGTCCATTTTTTTTTGCCTAAGTATACAGAAAGATTTATATCTGTATGGCATCTACATTTTTGTGTGCATGACTGACAAGGAGAAGATGGTGTTATTTTTCCAATGGTTCCTACTGAGTCTTTCATTATGAATGATTCAGTCTCATGTCTAAATTGGACTACTAAAAGGACATTATAGGAAAACGGGTTGAATGCATTGTATCAATTTGACAAAGCAAAGTGTGCTGCTTTGCTTTGTCAAACATACAATTGTTCCAAAGCCTAGTCTAGCACATGCAAAACAGGGAAACTGTCAATAAAATGATTTCTGTCTGGGGGAAATGGAATTATTAAGAACTCTTTTTTTAAAAAAGTAGTGATACCTGACTTGAAACTCCTTTTGTTTTTTAGCAGAATTTGCCAAACTGTTTTCTTCAGTGATGAGAACAGAGGTTAGGAAAATTCTTTTAAAATAAACCCAACCAAAAGTTTTTAGAATCCCCAAGCTAACCATCCACTCTCCATGTTGGTGAGGAGTTCCGGAAACGATAGTCTAAAAAACCCAACCCAATCTGTGAATCAAAGTGTATCTGAAAGTTTTTATGTTTGGAAGAATGTTACATGAGGTTGAAAGCTAAAAGTGCTAAGAAGAAAAATAGTCAATTGCCTGAAATCCTGTTGTTCAGGTGTGCAAGCTGTATAACTTCTAGTGGTGTGTTGGCAGAAATTTAGAAATCTCTGTAGACCCTATTTGTTGCACACCAAGCTGTGCAACTTAGTTGTACAACCAATAATATCTGTTAAGGTCTCTTCAGCAGCATACTTCCAAAACTGAGTCCATTTGAGTACCTGTAGCAATAGGATATCAGTCAGTTTAAAAATGTTCCTATACCTCTCACAGCCCTCCAACACAAATATGGCAGAATGATTTTTAAAAAATGATATGGAGAACAGGAAGACATTTTCTTTCATGCATATTTATTATTCAAGAATATGAAGAGATATACCGCAAATGCTGATTAATTTGGAGATGGTTGCCACAAACACCCAGTAACTTTTGCTGGAGGAGGCAGAAGTAAGTGATGGATGGTATTCCTTTTCCTGAGAGAGACTGCCTTCAGACACTCATAAATCTACACAGATCAGGGTGAAATCTGCTTCCAGGATTTCTCTCCCACTCTTCTTTGTCCCCAGACTGAATACTTGAAAAGGTTACTGTCTTTTCTTTAAATATAAGATGTAACCAGCATAATGCTTGTAGGATGCACAATGCTGGTGTCCTCACAGAAGGAAAGTAGGTGGGAGATCTGTGATTTGGTAACTGACAACTGCTTCCAGGGGGAAAAAGTAGAATTTGTTTTTCGGTGCTGTGCGTGACTTTCAACCTCATATAATTGGACTTCCACATAAGCAATGGAACTGCTATTGTATGAGCCCAAGCAAATGTAATGATTTCCTTTTCATCTCACCCCCCTCCCATCACCATCTCCTGAATATTTCCTAATGGATTCCCTTATCCTGTAAGGCAATTTTTGGGATAATTGGAGGCTGGTGAATTTCACCACACTATGACTCACAGCCAGAGTAAGTTCATTTAATAATCTGATAAAAATTGAGAAACATTC